ATCCATCTATCCATCTATCGATCTATCGATCTATCGATCTATCGATCTATCGATCTATCGATCTATCGATCTATCGATCTTTCTATCTCTCTATCTGTCTATCTATCGTCTGTCAAAAACACAAAGACAAGGGGAGGGTGGTTGGTGGTTGCTCTGGTGTGTTCTCTTCCTTCTTTCCTATCAAACATCTACCGTCTTTATCTCTCTCTCTCTCTCTCCTTCCTTTTTGTGTTTCTTACAGTCTTGTAACACCTTTATCTTCGGCATTGAGTCGATAGTGCCGTAAAACACCTACTAAATCAAGCAATCAAAATCTTCGGCATTTACTCGGCCTTAATGTTTACAAGTGATCTAAATCTCTAACTAAAACTTAAACAGAGACAAGGTATTTTTCCAGTTCCAGTATGTATTTATGACTTACGATAACAGATGGGGAAGCAAAAAGGAACCGAAAAAAAAGAAGAAATTATTACAGCTCTGTGAAGTTGGTTGGGCAAGCATTTGTGAGGTGAGTTGACAAAATGAGTTACTTCTCGCAATCCACAAAATGGAGATATTGGCCAAAAATCGACTCAATGGTCAAATTTGTAAAATGTTTACTAATACCACATTCTTTAACTATAACATGCCTTTAAAAAAAATTCCATACTAATAAATTATAGAAACTCCTCCTATAAGCGTGATAGGTCTATATCTTTTTCCATAAGTCTTGGATCCGAGAAGTAACTCATTTTGTCAGCGAACTTCACAAATTTGTTTGTTATGGCCATTCTGTAATTATAAGGTTGTCGGTGTGAGTTCTTGATGAAAGAAAAGATACGTCAGACGGAGACAAACAATCAATGAGAGTGAGTGAGAGAAAATCAGAAGGTTGATGATGAAGTGTACGATATTACAAACGCAGCTGAAGAGGAAGAATAAGAAACGTCAGACGGAGAGAGAGGAAGAACTGACTGATGGAGAAAATGAATGACTGGACAATAAGAAAAATATAGTGGATAAGAACCGTACATTTTTACGAACGATTCAAAGAAATGACAGACAAAGAATTTCTTTTAAAAGTTTCAGAACGGAAACAAAAGGATTTAATATAGACCAGGGAAATATGGTGACAACTTTATTGATGTGGCAGAAGAGAGGCACCCATGCAGCAAGGGGGTTGCGTCCAAATTGAGCTGCATGGAACGGTCCACCTACTTTTTCATCCTTATATTAAACACCCCTCCCGCCCCCCTTACACACATGGTTATTATCTCTCTCTTCATCCCCCTCTCTCTGTCTCTCTCTTCACCCCCGTCTCTCTTTCTCTCTCCCCCACCCCCCTCTCT